TTTCAACTAAAAGTCCAGGGCTGAACTGATACTTCACAGAGTTAGAGATCCAGGCTACTTCTAAGTTGTTGTCCCACTCCATACAGGTTCCATTGCCAAAGCCACACCATGATCCAAAATGGCTGTCAGAGTACCAGCCATTATATTCACAACCAAGTAGCACAAAGGAAAAAGGACAACCTCAACTCAGTTTTTAAAGAAACTTCTGGAAACACTTTTACTTATAAATCACAGGACAAAACTAGCCACCTAACTGCAGTGGAGTCTCAGATGTGTAGACTTTTAGTTAAGTGGAAAGTTGCTCAGCTAAAAAAAAACCCCAAAAAGCCCGGGTTCTGTTATTACAAAAAAGGGAGTGGGAATTGGACATTGAGAGATAATTAGCAACCTCTGGCACAGGAACCTAACTGTAATCACCAAGATCCTTATTAAGTGGAGAGCATATCCTGGGCAGGCTAATCAATTGGCATAGCTCCAAAATAATAGTCTTTAAATGTTTGCACAATATGTAAGAGATAGTAAGACCAATGCCAGTGAGAAGTATTTTCAGTTGTCTTTTTGTTTTCAAATTTCCAGTCAAAAGCACTATCTCCTTCAGAAGGAACTGGACAAGTCCATCTTTCACCAGTTAGTATGGGGTTGTGTGTATAGACATGCATTAATAGAGTATTTTTTTGTTTTGTTTTGTTTGTTTTTTTGAGTTGGAGTCTCACTCTGTCACCCAGGATAGAGTGCAGTGGCATGTTCACAGCCACCATAGCCTCAACCTGCTGGGCTCAGGAGATCATTCCACCTCAGCCTTCCAAGTAGCTGGAATCACAGGTGTGCGCTACCACACCTAGCTTATTTTTTTATTTATTGTAGAGACGAGGCCTCATCATTTGCCCAGGCTGATCTCAAACCCCTGAGCTCAGGCAATCCTCTTGCCTTGGCCTCCCAAAGTACTGACTGGGATTAGAGGCTTGAGCCACTGCTCCCAGCCTAATAGAGTGTTTTTAATACAACCTAGTGATTTTTGTTTTTATGGACTGTCTACCTGGTCTGCCCCCAGATCCACAGGACCCTGACACTACTCACCCCACTGCAATCTCCCCAATTACCATGCCCCTTCAGCATTTATCGTGATCACTACAAATCATCTACAGGTCAGAAAGATTCATTGTTTAGCATCTCCTTCAAGCCACATCTACCCCTACCTCCAGCACAGGATAAACTTTTCTCAGCTTATCAGGTTTTTAGCATCTCTCTGTAACCTTTGCAAGTTCAGAATATCTCCAACTTGAAGTGGCTACTCATCTTACTTTTAACACTGGTGGTGGGAGAGGCGGGGTGGAGTTAAAGCCATATCACACAGCAAAAGACTGTGAAGTCAAAAATTAAGAATGAATCTGGAATCCTTGATTCCAAGTTTTCTGTATGCAGGTTGAGCATCCTAATCTCCAAATATAAAACTAAAAATGCTCCAAAATCTAAAACCATTTGGGCTTTGCTTTCTGATGGTTCAATATACAAAAACTTTTCATGCATGAAATTATTTAAAATATTGTGTAAAATTACCATCAGGCTATGTGTATAAGGTATCTATGTGTTTAGATTTGGGTCCCATCCCCAAGACATCTCATTATGTATATGCAAATATTCCCAAATCTGAAAAAATCCAAACTCTGAAACACTTCTGGTCATAAGCATTTTGGATAAGGGATACTCCACTTCTATTTTAAAAAAGAGTGAGAAAAATGTGTAAGTCACATGCCTTTGGCATATCAGTTAGTACTTAACAATTAGTCTTGTTCCAATATTTCCCCTTCTTTGGAAGTAAATAACCAGACTTTCAGTATCAACATGGAAACTCCTGGAAATTTCTCTCTCGCATAAAAGTCCAGAGCTAAATTGGCACTCCACAGCATCAGAGATCCAGGCTATCCCATACATTCTATTTTCTGTAGAGTTAGGAGACAGATATCATCTGCAAGCTCCAAAATATATTTAAAGGCTGCTAACTGCAGCTGATACCAAGGAGAAGCCAAATGGGAGTAAGTGAAAAGGAGAAATATAAAGAGGGGTATACCTCCAAAAGCTACAGCAAAAATACATTTAAAAAAAAGAGCTAAGGGTTACAATCTGAAGCGCCAAGTGTCTAACACCAAGTGCTGATACTAGGGAAAGCAAAGGTCAATCTTCTGTTTCTAACAAGTATGGATTTGGGGTGGAAGACAGATCTATACAAAGAATTAAAGAATGAGTCATATTTAAAGAAAGAGTTAGTTTCTTGGTAGTGGAGTAAAAGAAAGTCTTAAGGGTATGAGAACAAGCTAGGCTGAATGACTGTCTCCGCTCCTCCCTGCTATGCCAACTGCCGACCTCACTGTCTGTTCTTGTGCAAGTAGCTGGTTTATGTATTCAAATATGAGTAGCAAAAGGCAATCATATGTACATCATTGATAGATCAATTCAAAAAGAGTTAAGGGAAAAATGAGGAAAATAGCAGAGAAACATACTAGAGGAAAGTCATAGAAAATGTTGCCACTAGAGCATATGAACTTTCCAGCTAAATATTTTACAATAAATTTTTTTTTCTTTCAAAAGTTTATTTAGTATCACGCAAGAGGAGACTTTGCTTAACACTACAGAACATTTCAAGACTTGAATTACAAAAGAATACCACATTATTTGCACTTGTAATTGGCTTCCCTTTTAACCCATGTTGGCAAGACGAAAACAAACTAGCATATGGCTGAAAGATAAAATAACTAAATTCTATGGAAACCTTTAAAATGAAAGGTGAGGTTTATGTTAAAATAATAGATTAACATATTCAATCAACCTTTTTTTTGTTTAACACTAATTAATCAGTTATTTTTTTTCCTTTTGATGACCTATTTTTTCATCCAGTTCTGTATACTCTTCAAAGTAATTTTTTTCTATGAACAAGCCCTTTTTAAATAAATCAAAATACTTAATACCTGAATGGATGGAACTTAAAACTACTTTGTTGAAACATCTACCTGGGCAGAAAACAAAAAAAAGGACATGTAAAATTTTGTTATTTCCAATACTTTACAATAAATTTTTAAAACTAAGTGAGGCAATTTTTCTATGAAGGAAGATCACAAAGCAGAAATAACTCAGAGAAGAGATGGCAAGAGAACAAGAGGAGTTGAAATGTGAGCTTGCAGAACTCAGAGAAGGGGAAACAAAGCAACTGCAGATGCAGATGGAACATACACAAGGGAGGAGAGAGCAGAAACCACAGTGAGGGATGGAGAGGAAAACAGTGAGGAAAGCATGCCAGATGAAGTGAAAATAAGGAGCTTCAAACATTAGAGAGAAAATAATAGGCACAGAAGTCAAACAAAAGAGAGACAAGTCATGCATAACTGGGATCCCTGAAGAATGAAACAGAACAAGACAATGGAACAAATCCCTAAAGATATAATTCAATAAAACTTGCCTAAAATAACAGCAGAGTCAAATCTATCTGTGAGAGACAACAATATATACCAGGGAGGACAGACAAACATTGAGGTAGATGATCCTGATAAAGTTATTAAACTTTAAAAATAAAGAAAGACAAAAAGCAAAAAGATCAAGCCTGGCCCCAGATTTTTTTTTTTTTTTTAAATCTCAAATAGAACTTGAGAGGACAATCAAGCATCACGTACAGGATCTCAAATAAAGAAAGGGCAAGCCAAGGATTTTACATTCAACCAAACTGTCAATCAAGTATAAACAGATCAACAGTTTTGAACATGCAAGAGCTCAGGGAATATTGTTTCCACAAGTCTTTGAGCAAACTTATAGATGATGAACTTCAGTCATCTAGAAGGCTACGGAAAACGGAGGCGCAAGAACTGGTAGCAAGGACTGAGCATCTCTATGTAGACACTGAAAACTTTAGAAATCTAGCAGAGAAGGAAGAAGATGAAGCTCTCGATGACAGCATGGGATGTGGAAGCCATATGCCCTGGCAATGTGGATGTGACAGAAGTGTAAAAATCAGGAGGGCAAGGGAGGATGAAGATGTGAGTTACGCAAGATCCGAGGACTGCTTCTTTTCTGACAGCTGGGAGTCAAAGGAAGACCATTTAAAGATGACAAGTCAGAAATGTAAATGAGACCACACCGCTTATCCTTCTGCTCCTATTCTTTAGCTTCCAACTAAAATTAGGGTAAAATTCCAAGTCCCAGGCCTTGCATGTTCTCGCACTGCCTGATCCTGTAAACACATCTCTACCAATTTTCCCTTTCCTCCTTTCCACTGCTCAGTTCCCTGAGCGGCATGTTCTTGGCTGCCCTTCGCATGTTCTCAGATGAGCCCTTTCTCCAGGATTTCCATGTGCTACCTGGGGCGCGATGCTCCTTCTCCCTTCTTCACCACCCATCATACCTCTACTCTCAGCTTACATGTCTTGAAGAGGGCTGCCCTGACTTCCCAGGTGAATTAGTTGCCTGGTACAATCAAACAATGCATTTTCCCCTCCAAATACAGAAAATCTGTATAATTATGTATTTAATATCTTCTTCTTCCACAAGACCTTACACTCCAATAAGGCAGAGCTAAGTGTGTTTGGAACACATTTAATTTCCAGGACCTACTATAGGACTTGGAATATGGTAAGTGCTTAATAAAGATTCGGTGAGAGATGAACAAACGGTTTTTACTCCACAAACTGCTTTCTCTGCCTCATCTCCTCTTTATTTGAAACACATGGCAAGAACCACTTCCAAAAACAATACTGAAAAAGTGCAAGATCTTTAAAACATTCCATTTCATATACTTGCTTTAATAAGGCAAGAAAGATTGAAAACGCATCTTATAAAAAAAGTTTTTCTGAAGATTGATATAAAAGGGTTTTCTGATAAGCCATATGTTTACTCCAAATTCAGAAGACATTTTGTCTCAGACACACTGGGTTTCAACAAAAGTTTATCATGTACTTCCATATGATATTTGCCACACAGAGACAATAAAGGATAAACTCAGAAAGCTCTCCACTTACTTTGGATGTTCAAACTTGTCTATAAGGTCAACCTTTTCCACCAGGTCTCCTCCGATTGTTCGGACTAAGTCATAGAAATCGTTCTCTGCGTAATTCTCAGAGGGCAGCCAGAATGAAATGTCATTTATCACAGCAGGATATTTGCTAAGAGGCTAACAAAAACAAGAGAAGAAAAGATAGATGGACCTTGTTAGTTGGATGAGAATGTTTAAATTTTTCATAAAAAGTTCCACTTGGCTAATTAGAAAACATTATTTCAGCATTTGAATTTTCAGAATCAAAATGAACTTAAAAGGCAAATCAACATTCAAAATTAGCAAATTCCATTATGAATGTTATAGATTCTTATCACATTCACGTGCAACATTACCATATATTATGTTTATATCATCATTAATGTTCAATTTAGTATAAAGCAATTTGAATATATCATATTTCAGTTTTTTCCATTTGAATACTAGAGGAGAAAAGTTCAAATTTAATTAACATGTAATTCATTAACTTCTTGTGATACTTTCATAAAGGCATTTTTGTAGAGAAATAAGTAACAGCCTATCAAAATTGACATTTCATTTAGCAATCTCACTATTTGTTAGTATTTCTAATTATTAAAATAAAGGACTGGGGTGATAAGTAGCTATTTAGGGAGTTCTTTTTCAAATTATGCCTTTAAGAATGTAATAAACACAAAATATAGCCATTTTCCCCCACTTCCTTCCATTTTTTTTTCCAGTTTAATAGCTCAGCATTCACCACTACACTGGATAGATTTTTAAAATTAGATACGTTTAAAAGTTACTGCATTTGTTTATGGCTTTCATATATATATATATATATATATATACATGTGTGTATATATATACACATGTATATAGTTTTTGTATATATATATATATATATCACAACTATACATCGCTTTTGTGTATATATATTGCAACTATATATATCTACATATATATAGGTTTGGTCTATAAGTTACTGTCACAATAAAAAATACTTTATTAGAAAACTGTGAAATCCTAAGGGAATATCTACTACAGCTATAACATTTTTAGAAGGGCAAATTTACAAATTGATCTATGCCAAGCCTGCTACAACTATAAACCCTTTGGTGAATCATTGATCAGAAAAACTATAAAACTTTTAAATGGCAACATCTCTGAAGAACTAAATACTCAAACATAAATGATTATTCAACTTGAAATATAATAAAGGTGTCAAACAAATGCATTAGCTACAAAATACCTCACTTGGCTCCTGTGTTTTCTCTCCTAGAGTGAAGTCACAATGCTGTGATAAATAACTTGAAGGTTAATGTAACAACAGAAGATGACAGGAGTTTAGTGGTTATACAAATTGTTCTTCCTTTTGATAATACCCTTTTGTCTTTTAAGGAACATGCAAATTTAGGGAAATTAGAGACTGGGATTGCCAAGAATTAGCATGAAATTTCCTCCTCAATAATCCAGGCTGAGGTACCACACTTGTGAGGTAAGGTGACAGAGAAATGGGAGAAGGTGCCCTAAGTGGGCATCTGTGTCAGCAATTCAGGGACAACAGCCAATATGATAATAACAATAGCCAAAATACAACACCCAAAGGTATTTTTAAAAGATACATTATGGCAAATAGTTTTAAAAACCATCCAGTTAGAAAGAAAAACCTGGGCAATTTATTGCATTGTAAACCTATTTCAAACTAACAAATGTAACAAGTTTAAAGTAATGGGTTCAACTAAAGAAAACACTTACTCCACTAATTAGATGTGGGACGCCTACTGGTGGCCCTTGCTTTTCTGAGCAGGATTAATACAATTCTGTTCTGAAAATAAGAAGACAGGCCAGCCGGGCTCGGTGGCTCAGCCTGTAATCCAGCGCCTTGGGAGGCTGAGGTGAGGGGATTGCCTGAGCCCGCGGGTTCGAGACCCGCCTGGGCAGGCGAGACCTCATCTCTACAACAAATCAAAAATCAGCCGGGGTGGTAGCGCGCACCTGTAGTTCCAGCTACTCGGAATGCTGAGGCGGGAGGATTGCTGGAGCCCAGCAGGTTGAGGCTGCGGTGGCCAGGAGCGGCCACTACACTCCAGTCTGGGCAACACAGTGTGACCCCAGCTCAAAAAAAAAAAAAAAAAAAAAAAAAAGAAGACAGGCCGAGCTCAGTAGCTCAGCCTGTAATTCCAGCACTTTGGGAGGCGGAGGTGAGTGGACTGCCTGAGCCCGCGGGCAACTTGGTGAGACCCCGTCTCTACAATAAATAAAAAATTAGCCAGGTGTGGTAGCTCGCGCCTGTGTTCCGGCAACTTGGAAGGCTGAGGCAGAAGGATCACCGGAGCCCAGCAGATTGACACTTGGTGTCTGTGAGTGTGTCACCACTGCACTCCAGCCTGGGCAAGAGAGTGAGACTGCAACTCAAAAAAAAAAGAAAAGAAAAGAAGAAGACAACTAGAGATTCCCAGTTAGTGAGATGGGTTGTCAGGTGTTGAACCAGTGGTGGTGGCAAAAACCACCCAGTGGCTTCCCACTGCTCCCAGGATAAAGTCTCCAGTTCCTAAAGCTTCTGCCTCTTTCCATGTTCTCCAGGCTCAGCCCAGCCCAGCTCACTGCATTTCTAAAACACACTAAACGACTTCCTCTACATCTTCCACACACCATTTCCTGCCCTCCCTATCCCACTTTTGGCCTTCAGCCTCTATCCCATGCTCACTTGGGATCATCCCAGGTTCCAGCAGTTCCTGGTTAGGGCACCCAATCCTTCTCTTGTATGGTACTTTTCATAGCCATTGTCTATGTAATTACTTGCTTCATATCTGCCTTCCAGAAATGTTACAATTTTTGAGAGTGTGGTGTGGATCTCTTTTTTCACCTCTGAATCTCTACTGTCTTGCACAGTACCTGTTACATCGTCTGTGTTCAAAAGGAGTACTTTATAGGAACAATGACTACACCAGAGTTAATCCATTCAGCTGTGCTTTCTCCTCTGACCAAATCAGTTAATGGGCACACCTGGTAAGGGGCACGCAGAGACTGGCCTCCATCCCTGGCTTAGGGTTTAGCCACCACGTGGAGTGACAAAGAGGCTGAAGCAGACAGGCAAAATGACCTGGTTAGAAACTTGATAATCCACAATCCTAGAATCATGGGATTTTAGAACTGGAAGGGACCTCAAATGGCATCTAGTATTGTTTGTGTTTTCTCATGTCTTTTCTTGATTTAAACAGAGAAGTGTCTATGTTATTAGTTTTAGCATATAACCAAATATAGCCATCCCTCAGTATCCGAGGAGGACTGGTTCCAGGACCCCTGCAGATCCCATGATATCTTTGGATGCTGAAATCTCATATAAAACGCTAGAGTAATTGCTATAGCCGATGCACATCCTCCTGTATACTTTAAATCCTCTCTTGATTACTCAATACCTTATACAATGTAAATGATATATAAATAGTTGTTATAATGTATTTTATTTGTGTTATCTTTTGTTGTTGCATTGCTATTATTTATTTTTCCTGAATATGTTCAATTCACAGTTGGTTGAATACATGGACGTGTGAATATGGAGGACCAACATATGTATTGATTAGTTCTTTTGTTGACCCTGTCTATCATGAACTATTTAGTAACAATGATCTCGGAAACTTGGATTAAATGAGTCATTTTCACTCAAAACAAAAAACTTAAACAAATGACTACATACCAAATTGAATTATCAGTCCAATCACCTTAAAACAAAAATGTTAGAGTTCTAGTTCGTGGAATAACTTTATCAAATGTTTATGGTAAAGGTAGCCCCTTTTTTATATAAACTTTCATGAAACAGAAAGGGAAGGAAATCCAACTAATTTTAGGAGGCTATTCTAAATGTGAAGCTAGAACTAGACAAGCAAAGCACAATTCATAAAAATTTTAGACCAATTTCACCTTACAATCTACATGAAAAAATCTAAATGCAACTTAGCAAACATAATTTAATAGCATATTAACATAACATTACAAAATGACCAAGAAGGACTTATTCCAGAATTATGGGATTTGATTTGAAACAAGAAATAATCTACTAATCAGCATATAAAGAAAAAAGCCCTGTTACTATTCTGTAGAGAAGAAATATTTGACAAATATATTACTTATTTATTGTAAGAAAAAAGATCTTTGCAAACTAGAAATAGACGGCAACTTCCTTAATCTAACTAGGTATTGATCAAAAATCTACAGCAAATATCAAACTTAATGTTGTATGTGTAACTAGTTGAGGCCAGAACTGCACAGGTAGGGAAAGAATTCACCAAGACAAATGTGAATTAAGAAAGATAGATTTATTAAAGACAGGATATATTGCAAAGGGGGCAATAATCAATACAGCAGAGGGAGAGTGCTGTTTACAAAGAGACAGGGACTTCAGGCAAGTTTTTATAGGGTTGTGTTGGGGAAGATTATGTGCCAGACATGCTGGAATTTCTCAGAATGGTTGATTGTGATTATCTGTTTAGATGGAATGGCTTAACAAACATGCAACATGGTCAGTAATTTTCCCTGTGCCAATATTGGCCTCAACTAGTTGTACACATAACATTTAGTGCTAACATTTTAGAAGCATTCCAATTAAAATCCAGAGTAAGATAAGGATAGCCACTATCAACAGTTTTGTTACATTATAGGTCTAACTAAGATGGTAAGCAAGAAGAAGCTATGAACTAAATACAGGAATGGCATAGGCAAAAATCTGCGATTCCACATTTGAATCCTTCCTACCAGCTATGACTTGGACATGTGCAGACTGATACTAAACCCTCCGGTAACACTCCTTTCTTCTCCTTTCATTTATTGCAATGTGGCTACTTCTAATAGTCTTGGAACAGCATCTTTATTTTATTGGACTGGACTAATCCTAGAGATACATATACATTTTTCAGCTTGTCCTTTTGTAAATCTATTTGTGTCAATTAGATGGACTGATACTTCTAACCCCTAAGAACTGTTTTCTTTCTTTCTTGGTGTGTGTGTGTGGGGGGGGGGGAGGTCACAGATATATGTGCTTCCCCGACCCCAGGCCCACCACAGGTCCCCCCAGCTGAATTGAGTGCCCCTCTGGGGTTCATATCTCTGTTGTTCTATCCTCATGGACAAGCACTGTGTCTGGCTTATCTGTGTGGATC